ATGTTCTTTGCCAGTGTTTGTTTAAATATTTTAATGCTTCTAATTTACATTTCTCATTTATACTCTTTTCACATGGACAAGTCAGTTTAACTTTCTGCTTATGTGCCCGGACCATGCTGCAATTCTGAGATTTAAAAAAGTCCTTGAAGCCTAAATTTAACCGTAGGTCTTGTCATATGATGAGGTGTCTTTAAAAGCACCTGCTAAACAGAAACTTTAAATCTAAACTACTTGAAATTGCTAAAAAGATGAGTCACTAATAGGAGTTGAAGAGAAAACATCCATGCACAGATTAATGTTTGGTATGGACTCCAAAATACTTTAATAGAATCTGACACTATGAATATAACCAGTTTTGTCTTTTCTCTAGAAAAGTCCATATGAACCATTACTGCCTGTCCTTTTAATATTGGATGGGAGAAAGGAGCTAAGGAGACAGCTGTGCTAATTGTATTATGTAGCCTTGAAACTTCCCGAACACGTTGCCAATATTTACTGTATGCAGAAGAGGGAAGTTGTATGTAGAAGTGGGAATTGTATCCACTGCTGCCCTTTATTTGTTTGCAACATTTTGGCTATTCTGATAATAGGTTTAGTTTTTGAGAACATCTCATTGAACTTTTGAGATGGCTGATGGATCTAATATTGCTCTTGTGCTAATTCCCAGAAGCTGGTTGTGCAGACAGCTGTACTTGTTCAATATAACAAGACGTAACACAGCCTATTAAATTGTTCAAGTCAGTAAAACTTAGAGTCAAATCGAGTATGAACTGGATTGTTGAAATAAAAACAACAGTGTTAAGGGTCTTTCAGTCTTATGCCAGTGACAGGTTGGCATGATGACAAACTGAGAAGCTCTGGAAATGAGAAAATAATGTTTATGGTAGAAATCAGATGTGTTTTTGGATGCTCTTTATCCTAGCTGATGCTCTTTAAATAGGGGAAGGAACACAAGGACTGGACCAACATGACTGCTGTTACTCCTTCCTTCTCCTGATACTTTTGGGCCTTTTCATTTTGATGCTGAAAGGCATCCTGACCAGCCGTGAAAGAGGGAACCAGATGAAATTGAATCAGTAATCCCATCAGATTTATTGCTTGGCAAGACACCTGCTAAATGAACAGAGAATAGAAAGCTATTAAGAGTCCATAGGCTGCATAGTGTCAAATGTCAGGCAACAGCAACTGCTAGATTCTTTCTAACATAAGTAAATTAGGCTTGTTATCCCAACTCTCCATCTGGAAACCCACATCTGTCCTAGTTCTGCCTCTGTCTCTCCCACCCCCTTTATAGTTTGTTACACAGAAGGACGGACTAAATGATCCCATTTCCCATTGGTCCCTTCTGCTCTTGGAATCAGTAGAATCTATTGATTTGTCTTCTGCCTTTTCTATTGCCGTGAATCTACCCCCGCCTGCCACTTCTGTCCTCTCTTCCAATGTCCATTGCCACTCTTCAGTCTCTTCCCAGTCTGTTTTCTCCTGCTGCTCATCTTCAGTCACTTGGTTTATTTTTATTACCTGTGCTGATTCCCCAAGATCAGATTCTCAGAGTCTGAGTCTGCCTCTGCCTCTTCTTTGTCCCTACAGCACCTTTGGCGACTTGCTTCTATGTTGTTGGTACCCAGCAAGGGACCGGGGGACCTGCTGGGAAGTTAGAGTGAGTGCTAGTACAGTCTGCTAGGGCCAGTAGAGTGCCCCGGGTAACTCCAGCTGTGCACATTGAGATGACCCAGTCCTTATGAATGAGGTATGGCTGGTCTTTGAAATAGAATCTTAGGGCTGGAAGAGACCTCAGGAGTCATCAAGGGTATGTCTAGACTACATGCCTTTGACGTCAGAGGCATGTAAATTAGGCTATCAGACATAGGAAAATGAAGCGGCGATTTAAATAATTGCCGCTTCATTTAAATTTACATGGCTGCCGCGCTGAGCCGACAAACAGCTGATCAGCTGTTTGTCGGCTCAGCGCGGCAGCCATGTAAATTTAAATGAAGCGGCAATTATTTAAATCGCCGCTTCATTTTCCTATGTCTGATAGCCTAATTTACATGCCTCTGGCGACAGAGGCATGTAGTCTAGACGTACCCTAAGTCCAGACCCCTGCTCAAAGCAGGACCAATCCAACCTAAATCAACCCAGCCAGGACTTTGTCGAGCCAGGACGTAAAAACCTCTAAGGATGGAGATTCCACCACTTCCCTGGGGAACCCATCCCAGTGTGTCACCACCTTCCTAGGGAATGGTTTTTCCTAATATCCAACCTAGACCTCCCCCGCGGTAACGTGAGACCATTGCTCCTTGTTCTGCCATCCTTTGCTACTGAATGCCTGAAATGCCACCAGTCACTACTGAATGCTTGCTGGAGCAAACTTGGCCCTGTGCTACTCATGTTCTACTTTCAGTTGGTCCTGTGTTGAAGAAAGGGAACACTCTTGAGTGGTACTGCTCTGTTCTAGTAGACATGGTACATTCTCTTCCTTGTCTTACCTCAGTTGTTTGGATCAAATACAAAGATCCATTAAGTGTTTCAGCCCACAAAGATCATCCTTTCAACACGGTAAGTCTTTGTGTAGCTGTGGAACATAGAACATTAAAAATTCGGGTGACTAGACATGCAGCTTGTACAAGTACTTGAAGTACCTCACTGATCTGTTTTGGTGGCTGGCTGACTGCAGTATAAATCCCCCAAACTGATGAATTAACATAAGCAAACAATTAAAAAAAAAAAAGAACAAGCCTTGACAAGCTGTACTTTGTATGAACAAAACTTTATTTATACTGGACACGCTTTAGTTACATTTCATACTGTGCCAGTAACACTTCAGTAGGATTCAGTTTAGAAACCTCTGTGCAACAGTCCTTGCTTATTTAAGAGCTGGTGAATGCTGTTGTTTATGTTGTGAGTCATGCATTATGTGGGTTAACTGGGTTTTCCTCTATCTGCAATAGAGATAAAAGTTGCTGTAGTTATGAGTTTGCTCTATTTTGAAGGTTCTTCCTTCCCACCATCTTTGCCTTTGGGGAGGAAAATAGTTTGTGATCAAGTAACAAAAAATTGTATAATGCACAGGCAGGCAGAATTAAGGTACGTGGGCTCCTTTATTTGTGGCACTTCCTAAATTTTAAGTACTTGATTCTTGTAATCTCAATTTTAAATATATGTGGAATCCTCACTTACAATACCTGATCTAGTTTAAATGCTACTTAGGACACTTTGCAGTTGATTGCCCCTTTCTCCCCTGCAACAGTTGTTTTGCCCTTACACATCACATGCTGAGCCTCAGCCAATCATTAATTTCACTGGTCAAGCTTTCTGACTGGCTAGGCCTGGGGCAGGGAGCCAATCAAAAAGAAGTGGTAAGGTTACCTGGCCACAAGGGACTGTTTTCCAGTACCATTCTGAAAGTCCAAGCAGATGTGGTTTTTATATGTTCATTTGAATGCCGTTTATCAAATAAATGCATTAGTGTATTACATTAGTCATTTATAATTAATTCCGTACAAAAATCTGGGTTGTGGTGAAAATAATAGATCAAACTTTGGTTCAGAAACCGATATTCTCTCCTTCTCTTTCCCCCCTCCCCCCAATACCATTGATTCCTTTGGGAAAAATAGTTTTGACTTAAAATGCAGTTTTGGTGACCAATTCTGTTGTAAGTCTGAGAACTCCCTGTAGTAATTTTGCCTAGAACAGAATGTATGTTACATAGTGTTCTGAGACTCTTTGGATTTACTGATGTCTGAGAACTAGTTGTTTAAATAAACATCTGATTGTTGTCTATGTAATGAATGTTATCTGCGCAGCAGTAACTTGTTTAAAAATGAACAAGTCAGTTTGGCATTGGGCTGAAGCCTTTGAGGTTGTGGTTCAAAATAAATACCCCTGGTTACCTTTTGCAACTGCTTATGAAGCAAAGCCTGAAAGCATATTCTACAACAAAATACAATGCTTCTGCTGCATTGAAGGCGGCTGTAAGATAGATGTAAGGCGACTGAGTTGCCCGAACTAGAAGAAACCTTGGAGTGCTGTTCCGCAAATCACATGGCATTGAATCAACTCTATATAGTGATCAATCAGCATTCTTCCACAGAGCAGCACATTCAAGAAGTGCTTTGGTTGGTTCAGTGAGTCTTCAAAACAAACCAGTGAAAGAGGAATCTGCAAGATCAGCCTTGTGTTAACTGAGCTGTTGTTCCCTCTTTTTGGTGCCCTTTGGAAAAGAATTTGCATTTATCATCCAGTATTGTCATCAGAGTTGAATATATGTTTTGTTTTACTGGCATGTTGAAAATGTATTCCTGTGCCTTTTTGGCAATCAGAACTGGTTATAGTTAGCAACCACTTATCAAGGATTTTGTGTATGTATTTTACAGATAAGTTTAACTGGTTTGATAGATTACTTATTTCACTCAGTGAAATGAGATTATATAAAGGTTAAAAATCTTCACATTTATAAAGGAGAAATTACAGTGCTTTTGTGAGTTTAATTATAACTGTCATCTATTAATATCTGCAAAGACTATGCTGAAAACAACCCACATTCCTTTACAAAGGACATCTTTCATGACTGCTTTTTTAAAATTAAAAAGGTTTTATCTCTTTCCAGTTACTTGAACTAGTCACAACATAGACTTGTTTGAGGTTCATAGTCCTCAAATGTTTAGTTTAAAACAGGGGGCTTCTTACAAACGATACCTTATGACCACATTTTTGCAGTGACTGAATTAAATATTTCTTACACTTATTGTATTTGTTGCCTTAAAATCCATATGCTTTACAAAGCTTTACTTTGAGAAGAACATGTATCGGTCTGTGCTCCTTTCCATCCATATCAATGAATATTCACTGAAACCTTTTTCTGCTTGCACTGCAAAGCCTGTAAAGGGGACTATGAGTTAAGCAGTAAAAAACTCAACTTCAGGACAACAAAAGGTGTAATAGGAGCGACGCTTGTGCAGTCCTGCTCACGTGTTTATTTTTTTCCCTTGTTCTTACAGCTGAAGGCCTCCCCCAGGTGTATTACTTTGGTCCGTGTGGAAAGTACAATGCCATGGTACTAGAACTCCTTGGTCCTAGCTTGGAAGATTTGTTTGACCTTTGTGATAGAACTTTCACTTTGAAGACGGTATTAATGATAGCCATCCAGCTGGTGAGTAGTGACCTTGCTGGCAGGGTCTCTGCCACCTTGTTTGAATTATTCCAATGTGTTAATCCAGCAATATCTTAACTATACACGGGTGAAAGTAATAGCTATGGGCATATCTGCTTTCTCTCTCTTGTAAGGATATTACTTGGAATGGGGTACAGAATTTCTAGGCATGGGAGGAGAGGGAACTACTATTCCTTCCAAATTTGAGTGAAGTTCTTATTTAGGAGGGAAGAGATGGTTAGTTCTCTGCTTTCTTCCACTCTGTATTAAGCTGATTAGTCTTTAATTACTTTCTAGATCATTAATAGGTACAGGCACCACTCCTTAAGTATAATTGATCAGAGTCATTGAATGCCTAGTCTTCAGTTGAGCAGATGGTGTCATTGCTATTCTGAGCATCAAGGATAAATCAGACTGGGGAGTTCTGTAAGGTTCCAAAATGTACTTGAAGCAAAGAAAGTCAAAATGTAGCTATGCTATTAAACAACATTCTGACGTGCTAGCAATGGAGTAAGTTCACAGTAACACTCGGTTAATGCATGCATTTAACTAACTATAGTGCCTTGAAACATTATAGCATGACATAAAACAGACATGCAGGGAACCATGCACTGTATTAAAGTAGCATGAGTCCTCACACTAACTGTGCTTGTGTCCCTAGAATTTGTGCCTTGCAGTGAATCTGAAATATAGTACTATTGTAATTCTTACCCTGAACCCTCGGCACACCCCACACATTCTAGGGCCACAAACGCAGTTAGCAAAATTACCCTATCCCAGGAGACCATCTTGGTTACAACAATCTAGCCACCTGGAGAGATGAAGGGCCATTCATGCAGCCCATTCTCTAGCATATGCTGCCCATTGCTGATATATTGTGTCTGAGAAGGTCACTTTTAGGTTAGATCTTTAAGCTAACGATCAGAGGAGTGGGCCGTGAAAAGTCACTTGGACCCAGTGTGCACTGCCATGGCTGAACATATTCGATCCAATCTTGCTTGTGTGGCACAAATAGACTACAGCTATTTGAAAGAGAACCTGGAAACTTGGCCATAGCACCATCTACACTGCAAATGGTGGCACTGTTTTCTTTAGGAGAGTCTAGTCCCATTTCTCCTGAGCTACGGGTTTTCCCCTTCTCCTTCCATTTCACCTGTTACTCTCAGTAGCTAGATCTGCAGAACCCCTTGGCTCCACCCCCACCAACAAGAATTATGTTATGCACCAATATGTAGAGCCTTGTGCAGATCCAAAATTTGTATCTGCAAAAATGAGCGGCAGTGACATTCACAGATGCAGATTCCCGTGAGTAGAAAATGGATATCTGAAGATTTGTGGGGTTCTAGATAGATACAAATTTATATCTGCATTCACATCCATATCTGCAAAAATGAGCTGCAGCCATCCACATCTGCAGATGTGGGTACCTGCAGATATACATGGATTTGCAAGGCTCTACCAATATGAACATCACCTCCATATTGGTGCACATAAAGAAAATTCATTCTGCTCAGGGGTGAGAAAAATTAGAGGGAGTGCTGCTGCAGTGTCTTGTTTTTTCATGCCAAGAGGTCACTTCATACTTCCCATGACACATTTAAAAGTCAGTTCTATGAATAAATATGAAGAGCTAAATACATATAGCTTGGCTAAGAAACAACAACGGTCTTAGATTTGTAGATATGTGAATTGAGTAAAGGGAGCCACATGGGAGAGGAATCAGATATTCAAGGAATGTAATTAGAGTAATGAGAGAAGTTACAAAGTAAGTGTTAAGCTCTATATTGGGAAAATCTTCCTGGCAATGAGGCCTGTTGCATTGTGGTTAGTATCTCTAGGGAAGAGATGAAACCCTCTTGTTTAGAATATCTAAAATTAGACTCTGTGATAGGAAATAATCCTGCCTTGGCAGGAAGATGAACTAGATGGGTCTTAATGTCTTTGCCATCTCCATTTTACACTCAAATGCAATTAGATGGACTCTTAGGGGATTTTTTTTCTTACTACAATACTCCTAGTATTTCAGATACTTTAAAAGTAGTGTAATAAATGTTTGAGAGCAAGAACAGTTTTCCTTCCCCATTGAGAATTTCATAGGTGTATTGATCCTGCATAGCTCCTTCATCTTTGGTGCTTCATAATGTCCCCTTGACAATATCAGGCTGACATAATGTCTTCCTAGCCGCAGCTGCAACAGAATCCCAAGATAATTTACTTCAGGGAAATGACATTCCTGTAGTGAGGCAAAGTTGTAAAGTGGCTTCTTGTGTATTGCCAGTCTCAACATTTATAAATCATGAGTCAGACCCTAAAAAGAGCAAGGTTATTTAAAACGCTTTTGGTCTGTATTCTGACTTTTTTGAATTCCCATGCTTACCCCCAAAGTAAGTGAACAGAGCGTTGTCAATTACCATATGAATCCGGAGTAATAGTGTTGCCATTTTTCCTGACCAGATGGACTGGATGCCATTACTGCAAATGGCTTCAGTGCAGGAAGTTGTCAGCCTAAGGTCATGTGACTTAAGTCTTTGTAAACATTCTTGCTAAAGAAGCAAACCAAAATCCAGACCCATTTGTGCTGGTACTGGGCAAACTGGAGGCAGTCCATGCCTCAGAAATTACAATGGAATGCAAATCATCGTGATGAGATTGTGATATGGAACCCACCTTAGAGAGGGGGTGCCAAACATCCATCATGAAGGAATAGCTTTTAATACCTGTTGAGCTGATCTGGATTCAAACAGGTGAGCTACAAATCAGCTCTGTACTTGATTAGCAATGGCCTGAGGCATGCCACTCCCCATAAACACCTTGGAGAATGGGGACTGCTTTCTAGAAAGTCAGTCTTAGTCCAGGCGTGGGCAATTCATTTGTCATGAACTTTAGTTCGTAGGTCACGGGTCAGGTCCATCCCCCCTCACTCTCCTCTGGAAGAGGTGGGGCCTCGGGTGGAAGGAGCTGTTCTCTCTAGGTGCGCCGCTGGTGGGGAGAGGAGACTTTGCGCACTCCCTCACCTGCAGGCCAATCCAGGCCTGGGGGCGGAGGACTGCACCAAGTCCCTTGCCCCCTGCCCTGCCAAGGGTGTGTGATGCCTACAGGGAACTGCCAGCCTTTTTGAACAGCTGACGGTTCTTTCTAAGTGCTGCGCAGCCCTGGAGGGGGGGAGACTTCACTTGCTCCTCTGCCCGTAGATCCCGATTGGTCTGGGGCAGGAGAACACAGTCATTTTCTGTTCAAAACTGGTGGCTCCCTCTGCACAGCTGGCAAGGGGAGGGAGCTGCCAGCTGCTTTCAACAGCGAATGACTCTGCGCACTCTGTCGCCCCCAGATCCCGATTGGCCTGGGGCGGGCTGGATCAATGGCTTGGTGGGCCAGATCCCGCCTGTGAGCCCTATCTTGCCCACCCCGTCTTGGTCAATCAAGGTGTGATCTTTTGGTGTTTCCACAGGCAGGTTTTTCTGTTTTCTGAACACGAGGAAAGTGTCTCTTTGCTGTCACACTCACTCTACACTTAAGTGCCCCCATCTGGCTCTAAAAGGGACAGCTCCTATTAATCAAAATAAAAATGATAAACATACAATAAAAGACATAACACAAGTTCCAGGTTCCCTTTAAATACAATGCTTTGCAATATAAAATTATTCCAACAGTTACTCCTGAGTGCTAGTACTAACATTTACATGCTTGCTTCTTTTTGCGTCTGTGTAGGTCATCTGCACTGTGAATTCAGAACCTTCATATTGACAATATAGATTTCTTCTGCTTCAGCTATAAATACATGGGTATATAGCCATCAGGTCCATCTCATCCAGTATCCTGGTTGCCCTTACTGTCTGTTGTCTAAAACCCTAAGACTTGGAAAATCTGCACTGGTTTGTCATGTAGATAATCCTGTTGCAATAACGGTCTCCTGGGATGATGTAGTAATGGAGAGTGGATGACAGCTGAACATGGAGCCTTCTAGTTTGTAGAACTAAAGAGTTGGAAATAAAAGCAGTGCAGTTTTTTTAGATCTTACCTGCATAGAATCCTAGGGCTGGAAGAGACCTCAAGAGTCATTGAGTCCGGCCCTCTGCCCAAAGCAGGACCAACCCCAACTAAATCATCCCAGCCAGGGCTTTGTCAAGCCGGGACTTAAAAACCTCTAGGGATGGAGATTCCACCACCTCCCTAGGGAACCTATTCCAGTGCTTTACTACCCTCCTAGTGAATGGTTTTTCCTAATATCCAACCTAGATCTCCCCCACTGCAACTTGAGACCATTGCTCCTTTTTCTGCCATCTGTCACCACTGAGAACAGCCTCTCTTCATTCACTTTGGAACCCCCCCTTCAGGTAATTACAAAGGCTGCTGTCAATTTCCCCCCTCACTCTCCTTTTCTGCAGACTAAACAAGCCCAAATTGCTCACCCTCTCCTCGTAAGTCATGTGCTTCAGCCCCCCTGATCATTTTTGTTGCCCTCCGCTGAGCCCTCTCCAATGTGTCCACATCCTTTCTGTAGTGGAAGGCCATGGGCTCTGCACATAAATGAGCCAAATCAGTGTTTTACAGTGTTCCTGGAGTGCATTAATTCAGTGACTACATAATCTAAAAAATGTTTGATCTTTCCAAACTCCCACTTTGTCCTTGCCTACACACCATGCTATGAGAGTACATTTTTAAAAAGAAATGAAACAAGGCAGTACTGATTTTTATTTGGGTGTTGGCTTGGTGTCTTTTACTGGGATGGTCAACGAAAAAAAATGACCTACCCTGATAGGAAAGATATAAAATCAAGCAAAGTACTCCTCCTGCCTTTTAAATCTTACTTTGTATGAGGCTTTAGCTAGCCTTCCAACACCTTTTCAAGGGACACTTCTCCAGGCTGAATTTATTCCACACATACCTCTTGATCTTCAAACAACCTTCAAATTGTTTGTGAAACTAAAAATTGAAATGTGTGTGACAAATGGCCTAAGCGTGAGACGTCCCGTGTTCTGCTTCTTGCCATAATTATTTTATAGTGGTGAACTATCAAACCTGATTTACAACATTTTTTCCATTGGATATTAAATGACTTTGTGCAACTGAAAAAAATGGTGCATGTACAAATAGTTCTTTGCATGGTGTCTGTGAACTGAAGGCAGGGTCTTTTTGGTCCACATGCTTGTCTGTATGCCTTTTAGCCTAGCTGGCTCCAAGAGCATAAAAGGAGTGGCCCAACCACTCTTCCGTTCCGTCGAACGGCTGAAGGTCCGTGAGCTTAGATTGCTCACACATCCTCAATACTTTCCTCATCGGTTTTTCTTGTTTCATTTGCTTTTAGGGCACATTTTTATGTGTAGCTTATTTTTTAGTAACATTTTTCTTCTAAAAGTAAAGAGGAGGAGATGCCTTGCAGCCACAGGCTTTGTATGGAGTTAGGAGGGGGAGGCCTCTCCGGATTCTTGGAGTGGCCCAGCCTTATCAGTTAAGGGTTGACACTTTCATATCCCTAATGTGCACCACCAGTAGAAAGAAACAAACCTAGGTGTGGGTGCTTTTGCTAATGAGCTGGGCAGTATTTGAATCTCTCCAGAACAGCACAAGCCCCCAGCTTACAGGGAACACTGGTGGACACTAAGGATGTTAAGGACTAGTCGAGAAGCAAATGCTTATATCAGTCAGTTGACTAGTCAATTTCCCCTTCTCCCCCACCCCTGCTGCCTCTAAGACAGGCAACAAAGAGGGGGTGAGGAAAGGTGGTACTTCAAAGTGCGGCTCAGCTGTGCGGCGCTGCCCCTTTGAAATGCAAGGTGGCATTTTCATGGACCCCGGGTTCTGGGGAAATGCATCGTGGAGCCTGGGATCAGCTGGGGAGTGCCCAGCTCACCCCGGGCTCTACATGGCATTTCAAATCAGCAGCGCAGCATGGAGCCCGGGGTCAGCAGGGTACTCTGAGTCTCCTGCTGACTCCGGGCTCTATGCTCCACACTTCAAAGTGGGCATGCCTGCATGCAGCCTGCAGTCAGTAGGACTTCCCACTGGGCTGCATCCGCACTTCTGCATTCCCAGTGGGGGCTCTTGTACATTTCAAAGGAGGAATGCGGAAGTGCCTATCACTAGTTGATGGAAATTCCATCCACTATTTGACTAGTAAACTAACCAATAGTTAACATCCCTAGTGGACACCGTCTGTAAACATTGTAAAGAAAAATGCCTGCACATAGTTTCTCAAGGTCCCTTCCCCTTTATCCAGCTTCTCCATGCTTGGTGGGATTGGGTGGAGCTGGTAGAGTCTGACAGGTCTTGATTTGTGGCATGACTGGAGACATGCCCTTTCCAACCACATCTCCCCTCTCCCATGCCTACTTCCTTCTGTTCCTCCTCCTCCTCCTCACTGGTCACATAGAGATCTTTCTTAGGCTTTTCTTCTACCCCAGCCACCAGCACAGTCTTGCAGCTCCCATTAGCCAAAAACCGGCCAATGGGAGCTGTCTGGATCATTCTTGTGGTGCAGGCAAAATGCAAAGAACCTTCTCTCTTCTCCCCCCCCCCCGCCCCCGCCCCCCCCCCCCAGCCAGGAAGCTGCCAGTGGGGCAAGGAAGGCAGGGAGCCTGCTTGAGGCTCCTGCTGGCCAAAAGCTGCTTATGATAAGCACCTCCTAACCAGAACCTGCACCTGGCACCCTGCCCCTCCCTTCCCCAACCCTCTGCTCCCCTTCCAACCCTGCCCCAGGTCACAGCCAAAACTCTGTGCACCCCCACTTCTGCATCAGAACTTTTGTCCCAGGTCACACCCCCCTCCCAGACTATGCACCCCCCTCCTACACTCCTTCTCCAGGTCAGGATCCTCTCGTGCACTCATAGCCATACCCCTTCCCAGCCCCCACATCGCCTCCTGTACCTTAATCCCCTACCACAAGCTCCCTTCTGCATCCAACTGCAATCCCAAACCCCACATCTCCTCCATTTATATCATGGAAAAGTGGAGCCCTTGACTTTCCAAATTCTTAGTGGCCCATCATCAAAAGTTATTGCATCACCCCGTGGCTAGTGTGTGAAGCCGGGCCGGCATGGTCAGTTGTGGAGTTGCACACCACAGGGAGAAGTGCTAGCTGTGTCCCCCAAGCTGGGCAATTAGAAAAGGCATTTCAGAAATGGGTGGGTGGGGCTTTTAAACTCAGACTGCTGACCTCAGGAGACTGACCATGGCCAGTCAGGGAGGTTGTTTCACTGGGTTGCTCTGCCAGAGCACTGACATTGGCTGGAGAGACCCTCTGAAACTGGTTGACACAAGGCACCTACCTTTATAGCATAGGCCAGGCTGAGCGCAGCCGCACTGCAAAACACTCAGGCGATAGGATTAGCTGCAGAGTACCTGCATCCCCACCTCATCCCTAGCTCAAGCGTCAGCAGCGCTTGGACTCAAACCTGGGATCAGTGTGACGATCTAGCTCACTGTGTGCTAAACACCGTTACTCTGGCTTGAGACGTGTGTGGGGTTGGAAGTTGGGTTGAGGAACATCAGCGTTTTATGCTTCAAGCTAACTGCAGTGAAGATCAGGCATAAGGCAAAACAGCTGTTTATAGGCAGCACTTGAAATCGGAGGCCTTGCATGGAATGTGGAAGGGTAAAGGACACAGCGTTTTTCAGCTGTAGTGCTGGCAGTGGGCAGTAATAACACCTGAATTGATTGTCGGAAAGTTTTCATGCTATTTTAAATTGACAGCCAACATTAGCAACACTGAGGGTATGTCTGCACTTGCATCCTCTTTTTTGAGAGAGGGATGCAAATGACATTTGAAATTGCAAATGAAGCTGGGATTTAAATATCCTGCACTTCATTTGCATATTTGCGTTATGGCGCTATTTCGAAATAACAGATGCTGTTAAGATGTGGTTATTTCGAGAGAAAACCCTTCTCTCGAAATAACCCTTATTCCTCATACAATCCTGGCTTCATTTGCTATTTCGAATGTCTTCATTTGCATCCCTCTGTCGAAAGAGGGTGCAAGTGTAGACATACCCTAAGAAATATAATGATTTAGATAGGCATGGCAAGGCAGTTGTCTTCCTGGAACTGGCCACGTTCCCTAGCCACCCAGAGGTCTGAGGCCATGGCCTGGATCCCCGGACACCCGGAAGGGTTGGGGTGGCAGCATGACAGCCTCGGCCTTTTGTCTGGCCAGGAAGGAGCAGGCTTCAGGGCTGTAGTTGGTCGAGGTTTGACTTCACTAGGGTAGATGGAGGAGGGTCGGGCTTAGGCAGAAGGGCGGGCTGGTATTTGCATTCCCTAGCTGGGCCTTCAGCCGTATACATATAAGAAATTCTTTCCCTTGAGTACTTGGTATGTTCTGAGGCAGCATATGGCATGTGGGTGGAGACTGGTGAGAGCAAGAGCAGTAAGGAAAGACGAGACAGACAGTAATTTGGATTTGGAAGTATTTTTAAAGACCTTGTACAAAAATGTTTGGCTAATTGTTTTATCCTCTATGGAATCTTTCTACGAGTCATGTTCCGTAGCTGTGCATTTAAAAACACCCCTTTGGATATTTTTACATATTTCATTCCTGCATATAAAATAACGGGAGTATAATGTGGTTATAGCAGGGGTCAAAGTCAAGACTTTTGCATACCATTTTTAGCTATGCATCAGACCTAGGACAAGTCATGTAATCTCTGCCTCGGTTTCCCTGTCTGTATAATTCCATTCCTTATGGTGAATTGTGTTAAATGTTTGCAAAATGCTTTGAGATCAGTGGATATGGGCCCTTGGCAGCAAAATGCGATTAGTGTACTGAACATGAATGTTTGTCTCCTACTTTTGCAGATAACGCGAATGGAATATGTGCATTCCAAAAACCTCATTTATCGAGATGTCAAGCCAGAAAATTTCCTTATTGGCCGGCAAGGCAACAAAAAAGAACACGTAATTCACATCATTGACTTTGGATTGGCCAAGGAGTACATTGATCCTGAAACCAAAAAACACATACCGTACAGGGAACACAAGAGCCTAACTGGAACAGCAAGATACATGTCCATAAATACACATCTTGGCAAAGGTCTGTTTTCCTTCTGCTAACGTACTGTGCTTTGTACTCTTTTGAGCAAGAGCATCACATTTGCCTTTAGACCTTCAACTATAGATTGGCCCATGGTATTCCAGTACCAGTCAAGCCATCTCTAAGCAATTAAATATTATGTGCATTTATCATAATGGTGTGTCTCTAAATTGGGCAAGGCAAACTAGGCGAATACACAGAAGGAACAGTTCTGAACTGGTGGAAGTAGAGGTTTGAGTGTTTATTTTAAATAAACATTTAGAGCAGCAGTTCTCTTCTGTTGCATAGACTGTATATTTGTTGTTTTGCCCAGTGCCTTTCAATTCAGTAGTTGCTGATTCCGTCTGTCACTTCATGTACTGTTGGTAGAAGGAACCAACCAAGTTTTCTTCATGTTCCTAAATATTTTACATTTCCTCAATCTCACTTTACAATGTCCCATTCTTCCTGGCCCCTGCTTGAGCCTGCCATGACAAAGGAGGGTTCTCCCTTCAGCTACAGAAACTAGTGAGAATCTTGTTGAAACACTTGCCAGTTCCAAAGCTGGAGCAGCTGGCAGCATGTTTGGATTAGCTTATCTCCATTGCATGTCCCCTCCGTACAGCGGCTCAAGAAGAGCACCTTGCTGTGGTTTCCACTACAGCTAACCAAGCATCATTTGGCTTTCCCTGATTTTAATATCTTTGGAGGATAAAACTTGCTTTGTCCTAAGCGATTAAAATTTTGCTTTTCTAAACTTGAAAGCGATTGTATTTTGTATTCACTTCAGCTCTTGGGATAATGGAATATTGGAGTGGCCTCTCTGTCCCCATTTATAAGGTCAAGGCAAAAATACTCTTTCTGGAACCTTCTTGAGAAGGATTGGCCCAAACAGGCACCACTCCTCACTCTCTTCCTATTTTATATCTTCAGAAAAGGTGGGGGCAGGGAGTGTGAATGGTTCCAT